CTCCACGCCTCTTTCGACGTTACACGATCGGCGATCGCGACGTAGCGACAGACTCGCCGTTATCACCCCCGACAATACTTTATAATAATTCAATTAATTATATCAAATAATTGTATTAATTGTATTAAGAATGTACAAATTTATTAATATATATATATTAAATTATATATACTGTATGGTTGACTTTGATTTTGGTAATAATAGAATTGATAAAATCAATTTAAATAACCAAATGATAAAATTAATATAATTATATTATGTAATAATTGGATTAATAAGTCTATTTTAAACTTTAATTGTATTTAATTTGCTTTATATATAACTTTTTTATAAAATTTTAATAAAAAATATTTTATTTTAAAGAAATTTTATATGTAACAAGAATTTAAAGGATTTACAATTGGGCAAACAAAATCTACAATTCTACCATTGCACAGTAATTTCATCACATTTATAGTTTAAATTACTTAGCTTATATAATCCAGTATTGATTACATTTGTTATAAAAAAATATAGAAAAATATTATTATAAAAACTAATTTAAATTATTTTAGTTAGCTTTTATTACTAGTTCTTAGAAGATATCGAACTTGCAACCGAAGTACAGTACTGTATTAAGCAACGGAATAATTCTTTGACCCTCCTCAATCAACTTTCATCACGTGAGGTAGTATAAGCATTGAGTTTGGCGGTTTGATTTGTATCACACACTAGACGCCTGTATTTAAAAATCAATTAGACGTTTTTCCGCTTGTGGAATTAGAAGTTTAAATCAACTATTTTAGGTAAGGCTAGTTACGATATTGCTCTGAAAAAAAACAATTTTTATGCTCGATTATATAAGCGGATCTGGTACAAAGTGTCAAAATTTATATTTGCTTTTTGTATGCGATGCGAGGGAGAAAAGATTATTTAATTCTTCGTATCATATTTCCCTAATTTCATTAAATAAATTAATGAGTTAGGAAGACCTTAATGCCTTATCTCAACTGCTTTATAATTTCTGATTCGCTATTTCATTTTGAATTTCTGCACTGGTTATATTATTTTGCAAATAAAGAAAGTCTTGGCATTTCTTATTATAATCACAGAAGCTTGTTGAATTTAAGTTCGTAGACAATTCTTTTATAATTGCATTATGAGAACTTCATATAAAATTATGGTCAAAATTTTGTATGGAATAGAGATGATCAGCGAAAAAAGTAAATTTTAAACGAAATCAAATGATAGCATTGTAATTGCTGATCATTGATTTAACGTTACAGTATAAAATTTTGAATTTTAATCAAAGCAGAAAAAGAGAAAATCATGAATAAAAATTTTTTACTTGTGTTCATTTTATTTGCTACGCTTTCTGCGGTTAATTCTTTGCCGCACAAACATGATAAAAGAATTTCAGCTATTAAATGGACTACATGCTTCGACATTCCAAAACTTAATGTAGTGGCAAATGATCCCGTCGAAGGTCAAAAAGATACCTTTACAGTTTCTGGACCTATTCCATCAGACATCAATGCAAACGACAAACTTTACATGATATTTATTGATATTGATGATCCCACACGTATATTTAAATTTTTGACAGACGTCTGCGGGGCAAAAGGTCTTCCACAATGTCCAATTAAAGGTGGAGCACAATTTGATGTGAATATTACACTTACGATTCCAACATTTTCTGGTTCCTTCATCATCTATGCCATGATTGGGAATAAACACGATGGAACTTTAGGCTGTGCATATACCAACATTTGACCTACTTCCCCTAAATAGAGTTTTTGCTTAATTATTAATATCATATCATTGTTCAATTATTTTTTTATATTATTTTTTTTTAGCTATTGATTACCATATCCCGTTCTAATTTAGTAAATGGAATTAATTACGAAATTTTATTTTTTAAAAAATTGTTTAGTTAAAATTTATCAATAATTACGCATCAGGTAATGACCTAAAGATAGATAATGAATTCGTGCCTTTTTCTCAATTCTGCGTATTCAAGTAATCTGATATTATTATCATTCAAATTATTGAAGATAAATGTGTTTCTTTTGTTAGAAAAAATAGGATAAACAATAAATCACATGGATTATGAATGAATGGGCATGGTGCATTACTGTATGTACAATGTCAGAGAGTAAAAGTCATGACGCAACTCCAGTCACGTGACTAACAGTCGCGATAGTGCCGCGAAGGACTCATCCTTATCATAATACTTGAGGTGGTATGATAGTAAAGTTGTAAGCGAAAGTGATGAAAATGATTAAAATAGCATTAGAATAGTGGGTGTGATGAGGGGAGGATCTTGAAAACGATTAAGTACTGTAATATAAAATCATTGTAATCGAGCATTATGTAATTAGGGAGAATCACGAGAAGACATTAGATAATCGATGCCACCATATTTATCAGAATGTAAAAACCGTCCCAACTAAAATGTATAAAAAGAATAAAGCAAAAGTAAACAAAAGGGTGTGAATTATCTTTTACTCAGCCAAATCGAACACGCTTTAAATTTCATAAAAAACCCCCTACCTCATCGATGGTTACGCGACACTGCCCCACTTTGGCGACAGACTCGCCGATCGATCATCACAACAGTACACAGTATTAGCGTTGATTGAACATTTAAGCAAATTTAAAACCAATTTTATATGATACTGCGTATCTGTCACAAAGTTTTTGGACAAATAAAATTTATAATTATCATTATTATTTTATTAAGTGAGATAAAATTTATACAATTATTTTTAATGATATAAAAAAATCCCACAAAAAGCTTCTTTAAATTATAATTTATAAAGGAGTGCATTAAAAAATTAATAACTTAATTTTATTTATTGTCATGAGCTATCTGACAGATCGTCACTAATCCACAATACTGTACTTCCTTGCTACAATTGGTTGACTAATCAACATAAGTTACTTCCACTCTTGAACATACTGTATCTTTAATTTAGCCATTCTTTACTTTAACTTTTCTACCAACTAACATAGACCCTTCCAATGTCAATAACCTTAGATGAAATATAAGTTCTCTCTTGTAATAAAGTAGTCCAAGTTACAAGTTTACTTTGATACATTAAACATAAGATAAAGATTTTTTGTCATCTCATTTAAATATTTTCTTTTAATTATTAATATAGAACCTGAAACCAAGTTGAGCAAAATTTGTTTTTTGATTATAAATATTACTTTACAATTTTGTCAAATAATTCTTAAACAAAATACTTTTTTAAAAAAAAGAATTTTTTTTTGTTCTCAAAATACAGTAGTTTGCAATTCTTTATAATATCAATATATAATTTATTATCTTATTTTTAAACAAGACTTTTGCTTTGTTTTAATTTTATAAGTCTGATTATAAGCTTATTATTTTTTTCATAATCTATTTCAGTTATACATTTTTGATTTTGAGTTTAACAATGTATTTTTTAATAAATACAAGGATTCACTTCTGTGGAAATTTTCGTACTTAAGTTTTCATTTTAACATGACTTTTCTAACTCTATTTTTTCTATATGCTTAATTGTTAATTTGAAAAAATATATTAAAAATGATATAAAGTTTAATTTAAAAGTTGTTAATAAAATCAAAAGACTGTTAACTACTTTTTAAAAAATAAATTTTTATTCATGCCTGTATATCTATATGATGATCAAGAGTCACTATTGCCAAAATACTGCAGATGCAGTATATTCTTCAGTGTAAAATGTGATTGTGTGAAAAATTCAAGTCAAGTTTTTTACATTTTTGAGAAACCATTACATAAAAGAGTTCAAATATACCACCATTGGACTCCTTTTCAGACATGAACAATAGTACTGTAGCATATAGTGTAATGGAAAAATGTCAAGTCTGTCACTAATGCCAACAGAGTTTTGCGTAACCATTACTGATGATTAAAGACAGACAGGTAAGTAAATTAAGGCATTAAATTTGATCGAATTCTTCTCACTTCTATTATATACCATTTTATTAACTATTGACATCTCTCGTTTTTTATATACTTTTTAATCACTACATAAAATAAATTAAACATATTGCTGTGGGCTTTCCTGAAAGCTCATACATTTGTTGTCACTTATTCAGTTCCCAATAAGGTAAGTTTCTTTAACTCTTGAGGCGTGTTTCCGATTTGGTCGTTCTCTTACTTTAACTTCTCTACCGACTAGCCTAGAACCCTTCCAATTTCAATTCCCTTAGGTAAACCTCGGTTCTCTCTTGTAGTCGCGTAGCCCAAGTTACAAGTCTTACTTTGGCATACCAAACACAAGGCAAGAGTTTCTCTTTTAAACGTTACTTTATTGTTTATTACTTAACTAAAACTAACTCCAATCCGTCTACATGCTACCGAATTGCGCATGTATTTATACATGCGCCTATTATTTACATGTTTACATCTGTTTACTATTCTACGTTACTCTAGAAATTTCCGCCACTAAACTTTCCCACACCAATTTTCCCACCTTGATTTTCTCACAATCCACGACAAAAGGATGACATAACGTGATATAGCGTTGCATGCCTGTGCCGATTTTACCCACAATATTAAATATAGAATAACAAGATAAAACACTATTACAAAAGGATCTCTACAATGGCAATGATGTCGGGCGCTATTCAGAGTATATCGGTCCCGTGACTAACGACAGTATCGTTGTTCATTGCGCGGCACGTACAATCTCCCATACTCGTATTACCCTTCTATCGCGCCGTTTACATTGTCTATGGTCACATTACTGTGATACCTTATAAAGGTACACGAGTACACCACTTTTTATTTTACTCTTTACAATAGGAAGAAATAATAATTGAAGAGATCATTCAATGTAACAGACATATTGATCGAGAGATCTTGCTAGAGTCTTCAATCTCCTACGTCATTCAAATTTTTGAGAATTGCAACAAAAGTCTCTTCCTCTCAGAGTCCATCATAAAGATTGTTGATGCTTAGTTCGATATAAAAATGGATAGTCTTGATCTCAGAGTCTTAAAGTTGGTTGGCAATAAAGTGTTCAAAGTCTTCGGATAAAAACTTAGCAGTTAGAATTACGATTAATACTGTTGTCGTCACCGGCGAATCCGTCGCTAAAGCGGCGCACTCTTCGCGTAACGATAATCCGAACACTTGGACTTCGGCACCAAATAAGATAGGGCTTTAACTCCGAGGCGGATTACGATTTGACCGACTTTCGCCCTTGCTAATCTTTTCTTGACCGTCGCGCTCTCTTTAGGTGCGTCTCAAGACTACAAGTGTCTCTCTTTACGGTACCATAAGGTAACTCGGCTTCTTTCTTCTTAAAGACGTTTACTTTAATGTAGTGGCGTGGGCTTAGTATATACTTTAAAGAATGTATATTGTCTATTTTGCAAAGCGAAATAGCATTTATTTAATAAAGCGCGAGTGTGCAAAACAAAACAAGTGTTCTAAAGCGAAACTCTAAATCGCGGACCTAGAACTTCTCTAACTTCCCTCCCCCAGAGCTACATAAACTATCCTATTTATATGCCTTGTTGACGCGTAAACACTCATTACATGCTATTACCAATTATTACACTATTTCACTATCATCGACGCTATTGTTACGCGACGCGCCACAATATCGCGTTCCCATAACGTTGAATAAAACCTTATGAGGAAGAATTATCTTCACCACCAAATAAGGTCAGTATATACTGTAACTTAAATTTAGTTAGCAAAACGTCTTTAACCATTCGACTACCTTTTAAAGTGCGTAGTCAGAACAATTAATGTGGAGACCCTTGACGAACGAAGCAATATTAATTCACTATACAAGCTCTGACTCTGAGATTGTACCTGTTCCTCTCAAAATATTCCTTCTCAAAACTTTTGTCGAGCTCGAGAGGAACCTAAACCGGACAGAAAATTGGATGTATCTTTATCAACGAAGAAAGTGGTGTTCAATAATTAGATAGCAGAAGATCATACTGTAAGGGTAGTTGAGACGCGAAGCACATCACGTGACTGATAGTCGCGAAGGGTACCGTGAGGAACCTGTTCTTGGTTGGCGGTGCACGATTATCTAATTTGGGGAAAAGAAAGAAGGGATTGTGAAAAAGGAACTTATACAATACAGACTTAGCTTAATCATTGTTCTTAAAGTATAGCCACACTAGCCTCTGTAAATAAAAAGAGATGTATAAAAAGAAAGAGATAAGCATTAATAAAGGAACAAGACCCGTTATAAAATTAAATTACTCGACCAAATCAAAACACGCCTCCTTTACCTTAAGTATTACTCACCCTATCCGTGGTTAAGCGAAATCTTGTCATCCTAAGCGATTGACTCGCCATTACACCCCCACAATACATTACTCGAAATATAGAAAAGAATGTCCTCAAGAAATATCAAATGTGTATTTGATGGCTAAGGGTTGGATTCTTTTTCATACAAAAACATCTATATGTATTGTTGTGGGAACAATAGGGATGGGAACGAGATATTGTGGCATGTCGTATTGGTGATTATGGAATGATGTAATAATTGGTAATAGCATGTAATGGGTGTTATGCGTCAACAAGGCATATAAATAGGATAGTTTATGTAGCTCTGGGGGAGGGAAGTTAGAGAAGTTCTAGGTTCGCGATTTAGAGTTCCGCTTTAGAACACTTGTTTTGTTTTGCACATTTGCGCTTTATTAAATAAATGCTATTTGCTTTGCACAATAAACAATAAACATTCTTTAAAGTATATACTAAGTCCACGCCACTACGTTAAAGTGAACGTCTTTAAGAAGAAAGGAAGCTGAGTTACCTTTTGGTACCGTAAAGAGAGACACTTGTAGTCTTGAGACGCGCCTAAAGAGGGAGCGACGGTCAAAAAGAGATTAGCAAGTGCGAAAGTCGGTCAAATCGTAATCCGCCTCGGAATTAAAGCCTTACCTTATTTAGTGCCGAAATCCAAGCGTTCGGATTATCGTCACGCGAAGAGTGCGCCGTTTTAGCGAAAGGCTCGCCGGTGACGACACCAGTTACAGGTTCCAATATGTATTACATCGTCTTACCCAACAAGTGTTGTCTAATGACCGTTCTTGTAATATGAGATTTAGAGGCAGTATTTCTTTTGTTGCATTCAATATACATTATGTTGCGTCTATAAATGAATCTTTCAGTATTGTAACAGGGTAAGTTGAAACGAAAAGTTTGTCACGTAATCAATAGCCGCGACGGGCAGCGCGAGAAACTGTTCTCGGTTGACGGTACACGGTTACCTAATAATTATGAAAGGAGAGAAGGGATTGTGAAAAAAAAATCATGCTAGACATAGCCTCACCAAATCTTCTATTGCTCTTGTAAGAATAACCACCTTAGCCGCTATAAACAAAAAGATGTATAAAAGTTACAATTAAAAAGTTAATAAAGGAATATCAATCCAACATCTACATAAATACTCGATCAAACCAAACACGCCTCTTTACCTTTAAAATACTTACCTTATCGGCAGTTACGCGAAATCTTGCTATCCTTTGTGATTGACTCGCCGCCTCACCCTTACAGTATAAATATTGAGAACAGTGAAATTGATTTTTCGGATCGTTCGATTTGCTCTTTTTATCTGAATATTGTTAGGTGTTATAAAACAAAAAATACCGCAAAGAAACCAACTAGCTGTAAATACACCTTTTCTCGTATAACAAATAAATTTCAGAAGAGGTTTACTTAGAGTTTTTATCTATCTAATATACAGTACATGTAGCATAAAAATTTTCAGTAATAAAGAAAAATATGCTGTATAAAATATTGTTTGAAATGCTAACTGCCTGACACCAACAGAATCGCGTCCCCACTACCAAATGGTGTTTGACATGTTAGTTGGTGATCATGTAGTCTACTTAACCCTTACATGCAATTTACTGCATGCTCATCAACAGAATCACGCTCTTTCATACTGCCAATTAACGCTTGACAGATTAGTTGGTGATAGATTCGTACAATAAATAAAATCCGAATTTTTCCTAAAAAATTTCATTTCTACGATAATATTTGGTTTCATTTTGTAACTATGGTGTTCTGTTTCTAAAGTTATTAATATTACCTTTGTGGATTCCAAATTCTAAATATTTATGAAAAAAGGTCTTACTAGGCTCTCTCAGAAAGCTACATACTGTATACAGTATTATTACGAGGTTAAATTGGTGAGTCTGTCGCCACTGCACAAGACTTCTCGCGTAACGCAGCGCTCGGCAAAACAACAATGTAAATTTCTCAAATCTTGATGCATGCCTTTGATTTGGTCGGTTTTCGCTTTAACTTTTCCACCGACTTACTTAGAACCCTTCCAATGCCAATTCCTTTAGGTCAAAACCTCGGCTCTCTCTTATAGTCGCGTAGTCTAAGTTATAAGGCTTCTTTGGCACGCTGAACACAAGGCAAGAGTTTACTTTAAACTTCGTTTTATTTATTATCAATGTATGTTTTAGTCTCCCTAAATTCTACTGAATTGCGCATGTATTTATACATGTGCCTATTGTTTACATGTTTACATTATTCGCTGGTTACACATCGTTCTTGAAATTCGACCTCTAAATTTTCCCACCGTTCATCCCATAACAACACTAATTACGTAACGCGACGACGTGCCACGTTACTGCGCCCATTTTTGACCACAACAGTAAACAATATATTCCAAAATGGTATATCTGAAGGATTCTTTCTATTTTATCGAATCTTATTAAGCAACACAATGATGCTTTGATCTCGATAAACTTTCATCACGTGAGGTATCATTGAACTTTGCGGTAATTACAAATTATTGTTTGGCTTGTATTACACACCAGACCAATAGAAATATTTTTCCGCTTATTTAAATTATCTATTTTAGATGAGGCTACTATATTGATCCGAAAAATTTTGATTTTATGCTCAATCATATATAGATAATTCTTTTAAAATCGCATAATAAAAATTTCTTAGAACAACTTTATATAGAATTGTGCTCGAAATTTTATATGGAAAAGATAAATTTTAAACGAAGTTAGAAGGTAGCATTGCAGTTGCTGATCATGGAATTTATATTTATAAGATTGTAAGTTTTAATAAAGCAGAAAAAGAGAAAACCATGAATAAAAGTCTTATATTCGTGTTCGTATTATTTGCTACACTTTCTGCGGTCAATTATTTGCCGCATAAACTTGATAAGAGAAGTTCTGATCTTTAATGGAGTTTATGCCGCACACGTAATGATACCTTTCCATTCCTTAATGTAGTAGCGGCGAATGACCCCCATCAAAGGTCAACAAGATACTTTTACAGTTTCTGGACCTATTCCATCAGACATTAATTCTAACGACAAACTTTATATGATATTCACGGATGAAAATTTGATTCTGTTATCTTTTCGACAGACGTCTGCGGGGCAGAAGACCTTCCCTAATGTCCAATTAAAGGTGAAGCACAATTTAGTGTGGATATTACACTTACGGTCCCAACAATTTCTAATGCCTATGAAATCCATGCTATAATTGGGAATCCACACGGCAAATTTTTAGGCTGTGCATTTACCGATATTCACCTCTAATCACCCAAATAGCATTATTGCTTAATTATTAAAACAATTTCATTGTTCAGTTATTAGTTTATTATAATGTTTGTTTGCTATTGATTACGGTACCATATCGTTCTAATTTATAAATAGGATTGATTATTAAATTTTATTTTTTTAAGATTATTTAATAAAAAGAATCGATATTATGCATTGTGTAATGACCTAAAGATAGATCATGAGTTCGTGCTAAAGATGTGATCCGCAAATAATAAATCCGTATATTTTAGAAATATCCGAATTATACTATAGTACAGACTTAATTAATTTGGAAAATAATAAGCTAAACATTTTATATAAAATTTTGATCATATTGTTACACTTAATTTTTGCCCAAAATCTTCACCATCCCTTGTCCATTTTTTACTAGCATTTACCCTCACAATGTTATCTGTTCTAGAATAATCTTGCATTATAGATCTGCTGCTACACCTTCGGCATCTATTGCACTTACTGTATCTTTACCATTTCTGGAATATTTCTATTTTATTTTATCTTTACTTTCTATATTATCTTTGTCAAAGTATTTATTTATGTGAATATTAACATATTTGAATATTCTGACAAAAATAGTATTTATACTTTAGTTTTTGTTTTTATTATAGCATATATTTATCATATATGAAAATATTATAATTCAGATATGTATATAAAGTCATCAATTTCACTTAGAAATTAGCAGGCTTGAACTTCTATTTTTATTGAATAAATATCTTAATTTTTATTAAAACAAATTATCATTGCCTCTTTTGCTTAACCTTGTAAATCTCAAAACTGTATTAATTTTTGACACTTTAGTATATAACATTGATTCTTTCAAACAAAGTGTCTTCTTACTACTAGTTTTCTATCTTTACTTTCTTATGAGATAGAAATGATATATGACAATATATACAGTATGTATCAAAAATAATTGAACACAAAAAATTTATTATTGCACATTAACCTGTAGACCAAAATAGACAAATAATATGCCATTTTGAAGCCAAGTGACACATGTTTAAAAAAAAATTTAGTATAATATTCTTTCACTATTATTGACGATAAACATTTCACAATAGGTCCTTATTGATGTCACCAACCTGATTAGACAAGATCTTGGAATTTTTTTCCACTCATTCTCCATAAACTGCAATAATTGGCTTAAATTTTGCAGCATACGTTTTTCTATGTTACCTTTCATGACAGCCCACAAATTTTCGATAAGGTTTAAGTCCGGACTACTTGAGAGCCAGTCAATAATATTAAGAATATGTTCAGCGACAAAAGCTCAAGCAATTTTGCAAGTAAGCTTGAAGTCATTATCCTGTTGAAAACGCAGTCGTCTCTGAGCATTCTCTTGATTTTAAGTAAGTGTGTACAAAAAATATTTATATAGAATTCACCATTCATTATATTATCAAAGCAAAATAATGATATTTTTCCTTCCATGCAGAAACCACCCCAAGCAAAAAGTTTTTTCAATCCTTTGGTATAGTGCGTGTAGGTCGTACACCTTTGTACTATCATTTTACTGTATTAAAGAATAAACAGAATGCTGTTTCGCCAGTAAAAATAGTTTTTTCCCAATTATTATTAATGTGTTTATATGCTCACTCCACCTGATTTTTTTTTGTTTTTTGCTAAGCATTGGCGTCGCTAAAAGAAGCTTTTTTTGGTACCCAAGCCTAATTAAATGCCATTGAATTGTCATAATAGAAACCTTTAACCCATCCCTTTCTAGTTTGGTTGCCAAAGTTCTTAATAAAAGTGAGTTATCGTGTTGAATATATTGACCTATTATTTTTGAAAATTATCCTATAATGCTTTGCGGTTGTCCATTTTTACCCATGCTTTACCCCTCCCATTTTTTAATTTTTTTAATAATGTTATAAATAGTGATGCGTAGTACATTCATCTGGCACTGTAGATCAACTACCTTACATATTTCTCATTCCAATAATATAAAATAGTTTCATGCTGTAGTTGAAACTTGGAAGATGTAATTTTACAGGTTAATGTTTTAAAAATGAACAATTAAAGTGAGCAAGAAAACAATGGCAGCACTTGACCACTTATCAGACAGACAGTTTTTATTAGTGCACCTTTCTGGTCTAACCAAAACTAGAGAAACTAAATCAAATCTTGTAAAGTGATGAGCTGTTCAATTATTTTTGATATACACTGTAAATTAAAATTGTTTTTTATTATTGACATAATATCAGCAACTTATAATAATATTAAAACATCAATTTTTATAAATATAATATCAAAACTTCTCTATACTCTTGTATGCTACTAAGGTTAGCAACTGTAAACATTTTGATAATTTTGGAAATTAAAGAATTAAAACCTTCAAGTAAGCAATACAATAAAAAAAATCAATATCAAACTATTATCATAAACTTTCTGGCAAGTTCATCTTTCTGATTATTATTTCTGTTTATAATAAAATGAGTTTCTAACTCTTAAGGTGTGTTTTTGATTTCTACTTTAATTTTTCTATGAACTAGTTTAGAACTCTTCTAATACTAATTCCTTTAGGCAAGCCTTGGCTCTCTCTTATAGTCATATAGTCCAAGTTACATGTCTGCTTTGGCACACTAAATACAAGGTAAGAGTTTATTTATCAAATATTACTTTATTGTTTATTACTTAAAATGTCTAACTTTAAACCAATCTTCAATCTCTAAAAATTATCTATATGTTACTAAATAGCACATATATTTATATATGCACCTGTTATTTATATGTTGTCATATATCGTTTCTACCTCAGGAGAAAGATAAAGACGGAGAACTAATAGCAGGGAGGCACTTTAGATAGACAAGGCCACTGTGGTATGCTAAAGTTTCTAAAGGTGTACAAATTAGTACAATTCTGAGGTTAAGCGAAAAA